TTATATCAATCATGTTTTTATTATTGGAATCATTTTAAATAAAGTTATTTACCCAGCATTAAAAATTAATTAATAAAATGTTATTTGACTAATTTGGATTATTGATTGCAAAATAAATTTTTTAGTTATTTTATTTAATATAATTTTGTTAATTATGATAGGTTGATAATTTTTGAATTTAAGCAAGTAAACGGTTATATCTAAATAACTAGAAATGTTAAAGTATTAATTAGCAAGGAATTTTATATAAAATTTTAAAAATGTTTGAACTTTCATTTTAATTTATAAATGTTTCCAATTATTTTAAATATAAAGAGTAATTAAATTAAAAATAAAAATATACCTTTTCAAGAATATATACTTTTAAAATAATTCAAAGTTGTATAACGATCAATTTTGCTTTGGTGTTAATTTAAAGTCAATTCATATTATCTAAATTATAGTTTAATTGAAGTATTTTATAGGATAATACATAATTTAAACATGATTTAATAAACATAAATACTTTTTTACTGAATTAATAAACTGACTTATTTAACATTGAATTTGTCATTTATTGTAATTTTTATAGTTTCACCATAATATTAATAAAGTATTATTATCAATTGTCAACAAAGTTATTAAACTAAAATATAACTGTAATTATACTCTACCTACTGTTCCATTTATTATTACCGCAAAATTATATTGTACACTAATAACATTTAATTACTTATTTCAAGCATTTTTATTACCACAAATTGTACAGTATTATTTTGAATTTAGAAATAATTTTATTTGATTTTCGGTGGCTAACGTCACATAATTAAATTGCTAAGATAAACAATTTATTAGCTTATTAAATTTTATTATAAAATGTACTAAATTACTATAGCGGCATATTTTTTGTAGTAAATAATTAAGTTAGTAGTACGTTTAATTAATTATAAGTGATTATAGCATATTAAAGTCAGTTAGAAAAATAATTTAGCAATGCTACTGTTAACATTAAAAATGTTTATAAATTGTCACATATTACTAATTGTGGTTATAATATGCATTAACTTTAACATTAACTATGGCATTAATCTAACTCTGGACACTGAGTCGCCATGTGAATATACCCAGGGTGAGAAATTAACTTGCTCGTCCATTGATGAATTAGACATGCTTGCTGAATTAGCTAAAATCAATGGTCCAGTTACGTGCAAAACATTTGAATGGTCGGCCCCTGTGAGAAACGGTATCATAGAGGGGGATACTATACCACCAGGGTTTAAATGTAACATGATCAACATTGAATCAAGCAACCTGGAGCGTATACATAAAAATGCATTTCGAAATCTAGAACCTACTAGTCCAACAGGGATAACTAGCTTCACCCCAATAGGAGGTGCTAGTTCAAAACTTCAAAATTACCCCGACACAGATTACGACCTATACGCCGCATTCATGAGTATCAAGTACCTTGATGTGATATTTTTTAATTTGGACCCAAATTCACGTCATGATATACCGGATAACGCGTTTGAGCAAGCTGATTCAAGTTGGCCAGTATGGGAAATTAATTTTAAAAATTACAACGTGTCCCGTATTGGTACAAGGTTTGCTAGCGATTTGCAGCGTTTACTTAACATTAGAGTATCAGGAACAATTATTGAGAAAATTGGCACCCGAGCATTTGATATGACCGAGTGTAGTGAGTGTGACCCTGTCACAATTGACCTACAAGATGCTGAGCTTGATTACAATAGTTTGGAGCCTGATGCTTTTGATATGAAAGGTCGATCATCATTTTTTCTGAATTTAAGTATGTTTTTTATTTAAAATGTCATCGTGGTGATATTTTTAATTGAAAGTAATATACAATTTTTATGCAGGCTTTAACAAGTTCAATTATATTGATGAAATTCATTTCAAGAAATTTTTGGATAATAACGTTGATAACACTTTGTGGATGTTTGACAACCCTATTGATTGTAGTAAATCTACATTAAACAAATTTACCTGGCTATTGGACAACCAAGCTGTTTACCAAAAACAAGCGCAAATTATGTGTCAAAATAAGCAATCAATTTGGGAATACGAGTTTTACCCAGGTATATTAAATAAATACTATTAATTATTATAAAAAATTATGCTATTATAATGTAATTAGTCTAAATTTTTAATGTTTAAAATAGTTACACCCACACAAATGCCACCTACTACAGTTTTTGTTTCAACAAATACCGATCAAATATCTACTAGTACAATTAAGTATGATTCCACTACTTCGAGTGCAGCAACCTTATTTAAATCATCAGGCGTACTAATACTACTGATTACCATTACAATACTACCAATATGGTTGCCAGAAACCTACTAGTGATGTATGGATTTGCCATTTAAGCAGAGTATATACAACATTACATTTAAACGGTTATTGGAAACATTAAAGATTAAAGTAGCATTTAGTAAAATACACTTGAATATTATTTTATTAATCATATATGACTTTTAAAATTGAGAAAAATTTTATAACAATATATATATTCTTTGTCAGAGTAAATAAAATATTTTATTATATTAAATACTAGTGCTGCAGATAATTAATAAGTTTAGTACTATAATACATTACTATTTTGGGGATTTTAAAACTTCTGGTACATTCCTGGCATAGAGTATATTCAAGAATAAAAATAATGGTAAGGTTATTAACTAGAAAATTTTAAAATAAATTATTTTACTAAATAAATTATCTTGAATATTTAATGCATTAATAGCCATGATAATACAATATCATTTAATGATACTGTACACAATTTATATTGTCAAGATAATGCAATAAAATATGATAAAATATCTGCAAATAAATAAAATAAAGTGCTTATATTTTTAAACACGTGTATCATGTACTAACCTTTCAACTGACCAGTATCGTTTACAGTACAAACTATATAAACTTATACAGTTAAATGGTGTTTATTTTACAGTTTGGAAATACAGTAAACCGGGGGAATACAAATAGGGCATTTCAAAATAGATTTTTACAAACTATTTATTAAAAATATAATTTTTATTAAAAGAATAATTTAAAAAGGATTAATAATATTATTGAAATCTATTGTAATTTAGTTTACTATTGGGGAGGGGGTTGACTCAAGCGTATGTAGGCTAGGGGGAGGGGATTAATGATTTGCGTACGATGTGCAAGTTGGGGAAAGGGGTCAATTTTTGATCAATTTTTTCGTACGTACTTTGTGAACGAGGTATTTAATTTTAAAAATAAGTCATTTAATATAATGTATACATAATTAATAAATATTTAGAAGGCATATGCATTTATTATATAATTTCATTCAATTTAAAATATTGGTATATCTGATATAGGTAAATAAAAGCATGATTATGGATTAACTGTATTTTTATACAGTACTTTACTTGTATCAATAAAAAAATTTACATTCATAATGCTGTTTTTATTTTCCTATACCAGATATATTATAGTTGTTGTTAAATTAAGTAAAGCTGTATTTTTTATTATTATTTTTAGGCATTAATATAATATAATATATTATATTATACCTTATTTTATTTTCAATGCTAAATTTTATTTAAAAAATAATCTACAATTCACTTGTCACTATGCTATTTATCCAATATTAAAATTCAATTAGATAATGTACTAGTAGTAAATATTTTACATTTCATTACCTTGAATAATTAAGTACTAGTAAGATAATGATTTGGCACTACAAAATACATGTCATACCAAACTTTGCAGCAAAAGTATTATTTAAATTACAGTAAACTTGTCGAGAAGACCACAAAAAATGAATTTTAATGCAAAAGTTGCGTTAATAACGGGTAAAACTGAAATCAAATATAAATAAACATATATTTTATGAAATAAATTATATTTTCAAACCTAAGGCTCGTCGTCGGGTATCGGCGAAGGGATTGCTCTGAAGTTGTCGTCTTTGGGCGCGAATGTAGTCATCACTGGAAGGGATGTCCAGAGAATCCAATCTGTGGTCGAAAAGTGTGAATCACTTTCCAAACGGAAAGCACTGGGAGTTAGGGCCGACTTAACGGTCGACTCTGATGTCGAGAATTTGGTTCACAAAACAGTCGCAGAATTTGGGAAAATAGATATTCTGGTCAATAACGCCGGTATCGGATCGTTGACTAAATTTGGATCACCCGGGTATTTGGAGGCATACGACACTGTGATGAACATTAATGTCCGGAGTATTCAAGTATTGACTCAATTAGTGGTACCATATCTCGAGTCAACCAAAGGAAACATTATTAACATCTCAAGTGTTGTATCAATGACCCCGGTAATTATATTGTATATATTTAAATTTTATGTATGACTGCACTTAAACCGGTAAATCATTTAAAAAAGTTAAATTAAAAAAAATATTATTTTTAAATGTCCAACATGATATTCTGGAATTGTTATATAAATATATACACACAGTATATCTGATTGGATATTCCGATAAGTCTATTGGAAAAAAGCTTTAATCTTAGTTTACCAATATTGCTTCAAACTTTACATATAACTTACATGAAAGAAAGATTAAAATTAAAGCTTTTTTCTAATACACTTATCGGAATATCCTATCATATATACAGTATATCTATATACTGTATGAATAATATTTATTAACTTACTCAAATATAGGAGTCAGGTATGATGGCAGGATGCATTGACAAGTGTGCACTGGATATGTTCACCAAATGCTTGGCCCTCGAGTTGGCGCCCAAAGGGGTTCGCGTGAATAGTGTCAAGTAAGTCGTGAATACATTACTATCGGTATATCAAACATATCCTAAAAATATACTATAATTTCAAACCCAAGTCCGGCGACTATTCGTACGCCAGCGGTAGAGACATTGACTGGTAATAAGGAGTTTGTGAATATCGTTGAAAAGTACTGTCGGGATAACTATCCGCTGAGACGTATCGGTGAGCCGGAAGACGTGTCGGAAGCCGTGGCATACCTGTGCTCACCCGTAGCCTCATTCATAACGGGCGCCATTTTGCTGGTCGATGGCGGCTCTCTTAGGACTCCTTTGCCAATAGACGGACATATATGACCGCTAGCGGCCAACTAGCGATGTATGCGTTTACTATTTTACTACAGTATTTACAACACTAGTATTTTATGAACAATGAGTTAGTCATTAGAATTAATAGTGAGTTTTCAAAATGATATTAATTTCTATATAATAATGTATCAATGTTTTTACTACACTGTGTGCTAGTTGTTTGTCCAATAAAAGATGCATATGATTCAATGTAAATTTTATTATTGACAAATTGACCTCGATAATTACGAGTGATCTTAGTTGGGACCATCGAGGGACGAACATGTCTTGTGTGGTTATGATTGTCGAGAATAGTTAGCCAGTAACATAATTAACATTTTGAATTGACTCAAGTAAGCATCAAGTAAACTTACAATGAACAAATAAATATTAATTTCCACGATTATGTTATATCTAAATAAAATGTGTTGTTTTTTATAAATAATTTACTGATTAACTATTGCACAGTATTTGCAATTATCAAGGACAGAACTCAGCGCAAGAAAATTTTCCAGATTCCCCACACTCTGCATAAACCAACCCATGTTAGCCCTCTCGCATATATCTATTTTACTTTATACAAAACTGATAAGCAATACAATATACAATACAATATTCCAAAAGTAAAATTTTTCATTAATAATTGCTAAATTATGAATTAAATAAGCCCAATAGTTAACTAAATTCAGTTAATTATTCACAAAATTAACTAAATAGTAAACAAGTAAACAAATTTTGTTATAATTTAGTTAATTTAATACATCAT